GACCTATCCACGTCATCATTTACCCAGAATGCTTTGTGTGTAAATAAAATGGCCTGTCCGTGTAATATATTTTTAAACTTTTAGTTTAAATTACAGCCTACAGTATTTTTAGTCTTTATTTTACAGTTAAAATAAATTTTTATCAAATAAAGTCTAATGTTACAACTAATCATGGATCCCTATAAAAGGAACAATCTTATTTGATGAATTTGATGTCACTGCAACAACCTGTAAAAAGATGATGACTAACAGGCTTAAGCTGCCAACTCACATGAAGCATTTGCTGGCTCTCTCAGACTGCTGGACTCCAGATGGCGTGTTGCTCCCCTGACCTTTGTGGCAGCGGTGCCTCTTCAGGCCAGACCTGCCCTGGAAGCTCTTTCCRCACGAAGGACAGCCGAAGTGACTCAGCGCCCGATTGTGGACCTTCTGGTGGTTGTGTAGGACGCTGGCGAGACGGAAGGCCTTCCCACACGTGAGGCACACGTACTTCTTCTGCTGCGTGTGGATCCGGGTGTGATTGCGTAAAGCCATGGGGTTGCTGAAGGGTTTGGAGCAGAAGGTGCAGCTGAAATGTCCGGTCTTGTGGGTGTTTTTGTGGTTCAGCAGCGAGCCGGCGTGGCGGTAGGTGCGATTACATAAGCTGCACTTGAACGGCCGCTCCTCTTTATTGAGCGACGTGTTTGATTGGGAATCTCTGCAGTGTGAGGGTCCATCGCAGGTGTGGGCAGCCAGTTGGTCAGCAGAGATAAAGGTCTTCTTACATTTTTTGCATTTAAAAGCTTTACGCCTGAGACTCCACCTGCCTCTGGCCCCGGCCTTCCTGAGGTCTGCACAGACATGAGTCAGCAGCTGTTTGTTCCCTCTGAAGCCTTTCCCACAGTTCTGGCACAGGTGCTTCTTATTCGCAAGGTGGGTTCGTAAGTGGTTCTTCATTGCGAGCTGGTTAGAGTAGGTGTTGTTACAAACGGAGCAGCAGTATTCACCTGTTTTATGCGAGTTCCTGTGATTGACCAAACTTCCTGCATGGCGATAAGTGCGCCCACACTGGTTGCACGCAAAAGGCCGCTGATCACGCTCCAGTTTCACGGAGGTGTCCAACTGTGAGTGTTGCCCCCCGCCTCCAGGCGACTGCGTGCGGCGCCGGTCAGAGGTGAACGGCTGACTGGCATTCGGAGCCGAGGACGCCGTTCTTCCRTCTGCTCTGGTTCCGTTCATTTGCATGAGCGCCTGGATCTGATTGTTGAGTTCCTGGATTTTGGCTCGGTTCTCTTTGTGCCTCCTCTGGTGGTTCAAGAGCTGCTTTTGAATTTTGAAGGCTTTCCCACACTCGTGGCAAGCGTGTCTGGGGAAAAAGACAAAAGACACACAGTTAAATCTGTATTCGTGAGGCAGCGCGGGTAAAACCATGATGATAATTTTGCAATTCATTTTTATTCATTGGTACTAACCTTTTAATGTCAAAGTGGGACCTCTGGTGGTTTTTCAGAGCCAGCAGGTTGTAGAAGCGTTTCTGGCAGGTGACACATCTGAACACACCTGTTTTGTGGGACTTTTTATGGTTGAGCAAGGAACCTGCATGCCTGTAAGACCGTCCGCACTGATCACACCTGTACTGACGATGCTCACCACCAACAGTCGGTCTGCTGAGACGTGTCTCTTCGGGCTGGATGACACTGTTGACTTTTATTTCCTCTTTGACGCACACGGACGCATCTTTTGTCTCTGAAGTGCAGTCGTGGTTGTCCAGGTGATCGTAACTTGAACAGAAGACGCCACAGCTGCCACAGATGATCTGTGCCTCCCCTTTACTTTTTGAAACGTCTCCGTTCAGAGGTAAACCGTTTGCATGATCCGCCTGGTCCTCGTTGTGTAGAGGCTGATGTGAAATCAAGTCCTGCCTGCTTGCAAAACTTTCCCCACATGTACTGCAGATCACCATCTCCCCCGGCTCGTCATCTTTCACTCCATCACTGGAGGACAGGGAGGAAGGACCCGAGCTCGGCCGAGCATCGTGGGCCTGCGTGTGTCCTTGGAGGTGGCTTCTGAGAGCCCTCATGCTGCTGTAGTTGTTGCCACAGATTGAGCACTGATAATGATCTCCATCATCATCCTCCTCGTCGGGATCATCTAATCTGCCGGCGTACGGCTGAGCGCTGTTTGCATTTTCGCGGAAATTCTGTTCAARGTAATACTGGCTACCATTCAGGCCGTGCATCTCTACATTACTTCCTGGATTTTCTAGAGCACAAACAGCATTATTGGACTGAAAATTTAAATCGTTGGAATATTCGCTTCCAGCAGTCTCACGTCGCTGATGTAGCAAAGGGCAACTATGAGACTTGATCCCTGCGATATCTGTGAACGTCTCCCCGCAGTCGGCGCACATGTGCATTGGTGCGACTCGTTCTTTATGAGGTGTATGTGCTGTTGTGTCCTGGGAGAAGTCCTGGTTAAACTGCTCCTGGTAAAACGCTCCGTTTCCGGGGTCAGCTCCAGCCTCCTGATCGATGCCGAGTACGGAGCGGGCGCCATCTTCCCGCTCGTTTGGAGAAGAGAAGCAGCCCTGCTGGTTGTCTGAAGTCAGCGGCTCAGAGGAGAGCCAGTCTCCCTCTGCAGCGAGGTGGAAAGATGACGGCTGAGCTTTGTGGAGACGAAGGTGTCCTTTAAGAGCGGCCAGGTGAGGATAAGTCTTACTGCAAACGGAACACCGGTAAATCCCAACCTGATGTGACCTTTTGTGGTTAATGAGGCTCCCTGAGTGTCGGTAGCTCTTCCCACAGGTGTGACACTTGAAGGGGCGCTTGTCAGACTCCACAGCTGAGGTTTCTCCCATATTTTGCGATGGCGTGTGTGTGGGACTCTCGGCGGTTATGTCCATTACAGGCGCTTCTCCCTGAGATCCACTGGGAGATGGTTTCTGATCAGTGGAAAAGTCCAAAAGCCCATGACCATTACTTGTTATCTGCTCCTGTGGGGGATCAAAGTTTCTCAAATTAACTACTGGAGAAATGGAAGGTATGCCACTTATAGGGGATGCACAAAAACTAGACTCCGGTGAAGCAATACTGTTGTCGTATGATGCATTTAGCTTATCTGACAAAGTATCCTGAAGCCCAAATGACAGAGCAGAAGAATTGTGCATTTGGATGTGTTCCTGGAACTCTGCTTCATTGGGAAAAAGYACCTGACATAAATGACAAAAATTAACTGGAGCGTCCTGGTTGTGTTTTGGCAGCTGGTCCAGCGTTGTGTTWGGGTCGACCGTCAAACTGAGGTCCGTCCTGCTTCTTGCTTTGTGAGTTCTCTGATGGCTGTAGAAAGCAGCCATGTTACTGAAGGACTTGAAGCACACGGTGCACTCAAACACTCCCAGTTGGTGAGTCTTCCTGTGATTGATCAGGCTGCGATGATGTATGTATGACTTGTCACACAGGTCGCACCTGAACGGTCTGTTTATAGAATCATCACACGTCTCCATCTGTATATTAYAATCATTGATTTTGTCATCACATGGACTGTTTTCTACAGAAATCCCAACRTTGTTCAGCTTCTCAGTAAATTCACACTGCTCATCGTTTTCAATTTCGTGTGTGGGATATCCCATGTCTGTATTTCCAAATGACTGATTTCTTGGTTTCCTGGCAAGGTGAACCCTCTCATGTGTAGCGAGCTGAGTTGCCAAACGAAAAGCTTTTCCACACTCTGCACAGGAATACTTTTTAAATGATGTGTGGCTCCGGAGATGGCTCTTCAGGGCCGAGGCATTCCAGTTTTCCTTCCCACATATGCTACACTGAAAAGAACCTACTTCATGAGTCTTTTTGTGGTTTGTTAGACTGCCAGCGTGCCTGTAACCACGTCCGCATTGATCGCATTTAAATTTACGCTCTTCCTCTTGTTGATGGTGAGCATCCATGTGCTGGAGTAGACCGGGCATATTGGGACATACCATGCCACATTGTCTGCAAGTAAAACCCGTTGTTCTGTTAGGTTCCTGCACTGCCATCACAAAACAATGATTGAATAAGGCGCACAGGATGAAAACCAGTGTGAATATGCCAGATGGAAATGCATTGGATACCTTTCTAGTCCATTTAAAAGGAAGCCAGTTCTTTACGATATGTKTCAAGGAATGTCCACGACGGTTAGACCACAGAGGATGTTGAGAGCTGTTTCCAAACAATTAGTAGATCCCTGAATTTGGCACAAGTAGGCAAACGGAGCAGCTGAAGACAGAAGAGATGCCTGCAAGACAATATTGGGGGGGAGGGCATTATTACATGTAACACATTTTTAAYAATCAGTATGTTGTTTTGCATCTGATCAGTAGCTGAAATAGCTTCTACAGACTATTCACAGAAAGCTTTGGAGTAGCAAAACAACAAATCAGAAAACTTCATTCCAGCAACTTGGTTCTAAAATGTCTTTAAGAGCCAACATGGGATGAATATTCATGTTGAAAATAGGGCTGCACAATATTAGAAAATCTTGCGATGGCGATAAATATTGTGAAGACGATATCAGGTGTAATATATGTCTTTTTTTCTTTCCTCCCTTTCTAATCTGTACTTCTTACTCCATGTGAACTTTAGCATTTTTTGGCAACGTCATTTGTGTCTGGTGTGAGGTTTTGCTGCCGTTAGATTCTGTCCTACTGGCTAAATATTGTATTAGCATGAAAAATACAACTTCTAAACTCCTGAAATACATTAGTTAGCAATTATTGAAATCCAAACCATCCTTTGCGATACGAATATTGTGCACACTGATATTGCAATGCCGATATATTTGCCATATATTGTGCAACCCTAGTTGAAAACACACAAAATATTTCCCACCTAAACTCACCACTGGTTAGACTGCTTACATTTTAACACAATCTAACAATATTTAACATTTAATGATAACATAGCTACAGTCTCCATTTCAAATATCTGATGAGACATCTCTCATCTTTTATGTTAAAGTGCAAATTTTTATTTTATGCATTAAATTTTTTTACATAGTGATCAAGCTTCTCGATGCTCTGAACACCATAAACAACTGCAGTGAATATAGAGAAGAGATGAATAGGGAATGACACATTTAAAAGATAAACAGGTTGTCATCTGTTTACAGATGAAGTTATGGTACAACAAATTGTCAGTACAACATGATGTTTTAATGGCGGAAACTTGTAACTGAAACATTGCTCTCAGTGTTTACAACGTGTGATACAATGTAAGGTAGGCTTCTATCACTTGGAGCAACTTGGAGTTCAATTTCTTGTTTTAAGCCCTGGTAACATGTAAAGCAGCTGTTGACATAAATACAAATCATTGACTGAGTAACTTGTTTATTACTTGGCACTTACTATTTAGGTATTTTTAACACCTATGATGATATATGAATATCATGCATGTATCTGGGCATTCTCAGGCAGTACATCAAAAAGCAAAGTACAGCCGGCTAAAAGCTTAAACTTAATTCTTGATGTGGCATCACGTTGACCTCGTCCATCTTCTAGTGTTTAACTTGTTTTAAACTTGCTCTGCTTGATTAAATATTTGATTAAACTATATTGAAAACACAATGCTTTTTCAAAATACTTTCTTTTCAAATTTCGTATTCAGATTTCAAAATATATTAGAGCAAATGCCATACTTTTCAAGCCTGCAACAACCCTGTGGCATCAAGGTGTTTACAAACCTGTAATGACCCAGACTAGAGGCATCTCTGCACGCATTGAAAGACAAAGAGCAAAGCGTCTTGCTGCGCATATTTTCAATCAACCTCTAATAACGTTTTAAGACAATAAAATAAACAAGCGTGTCCGTGTTTTTTTTATGTGAAGGGCGAACAAGTTTACTGTCATCAGCTGAAAACAGCTGCAAGCTGACGCTAGCGGCCTACCAACTAGCACGGCTAGCTAAACAAACATTGCATCAAAGCCAGATATGTCGTTTTAAAAACTGAATTACGTCAGAAAATACGTAAAATTAAATACCTGAAAATGCACGATTCAATTCAAGCTATCAGACACAAAACTTCATTCAATGTTTAAAAAAACTGTTATTTTTAAACACAAATCATATTTTTTGATCCAACTCTTCTTTCCTCCATCTCTACTTCAACATTGCGCTTGTTGCTAGGAAACAGGAAATGTGCAGCAGTCAAATACTTCCGTCTTGTTGGGCTACTTGTTTAAACTAGTACCGCCTCTGTTATAACTTATAACAATAACAACTGCTGAAAGAAAAAAAAATGAAAAAAAAAACACTAAATGTTCATTTATTTAAAACGTATTACATTAATGGTTTATTTAGCTAGATTTGACAAATGTTTGTAGCTTTGTTACCGAGAACAGTCGTACTTTCGCCATTCCGTTCACCCCCTCTCCACATCACAAATGGCAAATTATCAAGTACATTTACGTGACATAACTTTAATATTGCTTCTGCATTTTGTCAGAAATTTGATGGTGTCTTTATAATGTGACTAATCGTATTAGCAAATAACACAAGTCATTGTTAAACGCTGCACTTGGCTTGCTAGCCGACAGCTGATGTCATCRGGGTCCTAGCGCCGCCCGCTACCTGGGAGCCGAACAGGAATCAGCGATTCTCACAGTAAAATCTGTCGCGTTCAAAGACATCATCGGGTAACTGATGTACTGATATCGGTAAGAATAACTTATATTTCTTCTATGAACACTTAGTGCCGAGACAGACGATTGTAGACACACATAAGCCTTAGAATCACGGTCTTGATGTTTTAGTGATTTGGTGCAACTAGCGGTCCTAAAGCCAGCCATTTTGAGTTAGTGTAGCACGCAAACGAGCACAAAGATAAATACGTACATAACGTGTCCTGCTCTTCGCGACACCGTCACGCTTGTCTTGTGGTGTTTGACATTAGTCTGATGTCTGGTAGACGTCAGTCATGTTGTGCACAGTGTGATCCCTGCCTCGCCAACTTCCCCTGGCATCGAAGCGGTTAGCTTATTGTCCCTGAGGTCCTAATGCCAGCCATTTTGTGAAAAACGCACATATTTTTCTGATTATCTGGCTAAARCCATACAGATGTTTTTATTTACCCCCTTACTGCCATATCTCTTCAACATATTCAGATACGTAAAAGGAATTTGGCCTCATATCTTTGGAAAACTGTGCTCCTAATGTCGAACATACATTCAGAATAATTTAAAAGATTATATATATATATATAT